ACAGTCGTCTAATATTTTTAAAATTATTTTAAGAATAGTTGCAGAGAATATTTTCCCAGTATCTTTCTATATTTATTTATCAGAGGATATCATGTTTTTTTTTTAAAAAAAAAACCCAGAATGGTACACCTTTTGAAAAACAATAAATAAAGTTATTTTAAGAAATCGTATTATTAGATGGATATTACAGAAAATTACAAAACACTCTAAAAAATGTAAAAGAAAATGTTGGGTTCTTCGTTACAGACAATAGCCGTAGAATAAAACTAAAATAATAAAAATAAAAAATGCTAAAAAGGCCCATATTGTATTTTATGTACAAAACTTAAGACGAAGGCATCGGTATCGACTTCTCTTTTGGGTTCTGAGATTTTTGATTTTTCAAGGACTTATTTTAAAAAGTGAAAACCTCAATCTAAACCGCCACGATGCACAAATGAAAAACGCAAGAAAAAAATTCTTTAAAGTTTTGAAGAAAAACTGCTTTAAAAATATACATATTCTCTTTTACTTAAATGCCAAATATCTAGTCTGTACTGTATTATGGAATAATGCTGCAGTGAAAAGTGTTTGAAAATTATCATTTTTTCGCAATGAAACTATAATTTTCAGCATGATATTATCAGTAAAAATGTTGCTAATGACACGGTGTTTATGATCGGAAATTTTCACTGTATCATATTAAATTAGGTACGTCTAAAAAGTTGCCAAAATTAGTATCATAAATTTGTACGCAAAATTTGAGCGTCACTTTGCTATGACAACTCATTGATTTGGAAAGTCTTTAAAAAATCAGACAATTGTTGAATTTTAATTAACCTTTCAGGAATTATTCACAAATGAATGATATTATTTTAAAAACGTTTCTTTAGAAAAACTTGGTATTTTTTTTTACATCTGTTACTTACGACTCATTTAATTTAATTAAGTTTCGAGACATTCTTTATTGTATAACTTCTTATTTATATTTGTTATAAGGAAAATCTTCGAAGTATTTAAATCATCAATTTGTTTTGTCAAACATGACCTCCAGAAAAAGTCTAGGAAGAGAAGCGAAAACTAAATCGACTATATAACTATCAATAAACAATAAAGGTTTCAAGGAAGTAGTTTTACACTGTAAAACATGCCCAAGTGTCAACTGCGGAAATGACCACTTTCCAGTGATATGGAAATTGAAGTAGGCCAAGACAAAACAAAAATTGCAATACGACAGACTTCTGAATAACCCAGTATGAAGGAGAAATATATAGTGTGAAAAGGAGATACAATGGACAAAATGAGAATGGAAAATCGAAGTTGGGCACATTAAGAGAAGCTTATCGAGATCACTCCATGGAAAAATAAACAATGAAAAAAGAGGGAATGACAGTTGAAATTCTTGACATAATGAAAGGAGCCAAAAACAATGCAAAGGTACGGCACAGAATATAGGACTCTGCACAAAGAAATGAGGAACAAACGCAGGCAGGCTAAGCAGGAATGATCTAATGAATAATGTCCAGAAATGGAAAGAGTAAGTATCATAGATAAAGCAGATATGCATAAAAATAACTAACAGGGAAAAAGACATGCTCATCAAAAGACACTGACATTAGAGAAAGAAAAATACTTCAGAGATGTAACGAATACATTGGAGAACTCTTCCACGACGAAAGAAAACTACCAGAAATACGCAGACATATCGAAGCACCGGAAATATTAAAAGATGAATGGAATCAGCATTAGCCAAATTGAACAGCAAAAAAGCAACAGGATAAAAAAGAATTGTAATAGAGATGCTAGTAGCCTTAAATGATTTTGGCGTTGACAAATGAATTCTAAAACAGTGGTGATATGCTGGAAGTCTTAAGTATATCTATTTTCATAACACTGTCAAAGAAGCCAGGTGAAAACGAATTTGAACTCCATAGGACTATCAACCTAATGAGCCATTTAACAACACTTATTATCCGAATTCTGATGTATAAAGCCCGCAACAGACTCAGATCGGAAACAGGACAAGAAATCGTTAAAGACAAGAAATGCAATATTTATGCACAGAATAATATCAGAAAAAACAATACAAATACAGAAATATGTGTACCTGTGGTTTATAGAATATGCTAAAGAGTTTGATAGATTACGTTACAATGAACAGTTGGAACTGCTTGATAAACTTGACACATTTGCGAAGAAATATACTGACAGTAAACCGCCTGCATATGGATAAAAATGAGTTCACTAAATATACAGAAATAGAAAAGGGGTGTAAGACAAGGATGTGTCTCCTTACCGATGAGGCGATTCTGTAAGTAATAGAAATCCTACTAGGATTATTTATTGGCGAACACAATCTTAAAAACATAAGATATGCAGATGACACAGTGTTGATAGTAGACACAGAAAGGAAACTACAAAAACTCCCACAGAAAGTACTGACAGAAATCGATGAGAAAGGAAGAAACATTAATTACAAGAAGTTAGCAAAGGGAACATCCCAAATGCAAATTACAAATTGGAGATACCAAAATCAAACAATATAAAGTGATTGATCCTTTGCCTCATTTCGTAAACCACCAATACTTCTTCCTTCTCCGCTTTTTTTGAAGTTTCTTTGTAAAATTTTACATCAGGTTCTCTAAGTTTCTCAATAAGAATATATTTTTAAAATTCAAATAAGAAATCTGGTTATATTTATAAAGTCTGTCTATCAGATTCGTCTTTTTCTAATTGGCCCAAATGAAATCCTTTATTTGGCACAAAGTACACGAACACAATATCCCTTTCTCTTAATAACACATACTCATAAAAATAGACAAACCGAAACTTATTTCGCTAATTCTTGCATAATTAACCAATACACTTTTCATTTCGGCATTCAGGATTTGAAACCAACGCAGACATGTGTCAAGTGTTAAAGCCGTTATGTCATTCACAAAGACAAAAACAGGGAGAAGAGTAACATTGATATTAAATAATGAATATTTAGTATGACAAACGTAAACGATGAAGTAGTGTTCCTCTTTTCACGCATACAAATAATCTTTGAAACAATACAAATGGAATTTTTCAAAAATGTTCAATGATGAAGAAATATATACATTATTTGTTTAAATATTTGAGAAATAAAATAATTGTTCTTTTATTATTGAGTCATTTTTCTTAAACCAAAAACTTGCAAATATTACAGTCATCAAGAAAAATGGCAGGTGAAGAGAAAAGTTGTTCAAACATCTCATAAGTAACTCAACTTCATTCCGGAAATTTGGGAAAGCATATGATCAACTATCCAACAACATTGACCTGTGCTTGGCGTATTTATGATGACAATCGAAGACCGCTTTTTTTCACGTAGATGCTTTTTAGACTCTTAAAGAAAAAATAGCCGACACGCCCTACCCCATAAATCATATTTCCATTTCAAACACATAGGAAGAAAATCGCAGAAATAATTTGAAAAAATTTGATTTTAAAATGTTTGAAAAATATATTTCATTTCCTGTTTCGTAATCATATGAAAGAACTGAATAGATTTATTTTCGTGTTTATGTACAAGACAGGAAATTCGTCAGGAAGATCGTGTTACGCCAAAGTAGAAACGGACTGCTAGATATAAATAATTGAACTTTGAAACATTTATTTACTTGTTTACGATATGAGATTGCTGAAAATTTCTCGAATTAATTCACTTTTTTAAATTAGTATTTTTGTTTGCTAATTGAAATACTATGTCTAAAGACTGTATTAAAGCAAGGTAAGTAAATATCTATCTCTCTATATATGTATTTGTTCATCCCTATCTAAAACTGTGTTTTTTAATAGAAAGTTTGACGTGTAAATGAAATGCAATAATTATTTATGTACTAGAATTTTTCATTTATATTTGTCATTTTCTTTTTAGCACTTGAAATTCGAGATAAAAAGCGCCTACTACCATGGATTCTTTCAGATTAAATTCCAAAATAGGTTCTGATTTTAAATAAAACTTTTAAAATTTTAATCATCTGCTAATGTAAGAATTGATATATGAAAAATAAAGGTATATTTATTGATAATTAGAGAATGAAAATGTAGAAACTGATATCTAAAATGTAGTGTTTCTAAGTATTGTTGCTGATCCGGAACGTCATTTTTTTTCTTATAGGTTTTATTAGAACATCGGAAACGCGATATAATTTTAGATGTAACACTTGTAGGAGTTCAAAAATACTGTCTTATTTCACTTTCACCAGTCAACAGCGAGCGGCCATAACTTAAACAAACAAGTAAGCAATGAAGAAATAAGAATTAACATCACTTCTCGAAGGAGTTGAATCTTCACAACGTTCTCTTTAATGTCTGTATATTGTGAATCGCCATGGCTGTTTTTGGAAGGAATAGTTGAGTTACTTCCTGCGACTTTCTACACGTTTTTAATTCATAATTTCCTTCTAGATGGGTTATCCTGCAAGGTTAAACGGTTCAATTCGCCATTTTCGTCATTACAGAGATTGTAAAAACAGGAATTAAAAAAAAAAGCCGCATGAAGATGTGATTAATTTCTGCAAGAATCTCTGATATTGAACTGACCTGATTTAACTTATATAGCAGTTGTCATGTCGTAAATTGCATTCTTCATTTCGTGCTTTTTTCCCCCAGTAAGTTCATGCCTAGCCTGATGATTCTCGCTTTCATTTTTCACGTAAATTTTATGTCTCATGTAATTGGTAAGTTTCCTGAAGTTGGAATTTCAAAATAATTGGTACTGTTTACATTGCGGATCAATCAGAAATCACTGGCATTTCGGGTGCGTATTTGAAAAGAAAAAATGAAATAACGAAAAAGAAAGGAAAGAAGAAAAGAAATAGAAAAGCAGAAAAGTGAAAAACTAAAGAAAATGAAAAGCTATAAATTTAAAAACTGGAAAGGAATATTTAAAATCAGTAAAGATCGTGGTGCACCACAACATTTTTTTTATCTTACTAAAATTCCGGGAACATGTGTTTTAACGTTAGCTTGTCTTTGATTGGAAAACGAGGCTAAAATGCAATGACAAACAGCATGCAGCAGTTGAAAGAAATCAAAAAGAAAACCGGGAAGAAGATAGGAAAGAAAAAGAAGAAAAGAGAGAAAGGAAGGGGAAAGAAAAGAGATATCCAACTGAGAGAAAAGGAAAGAAAAAGAAGAAAAGAGAGAAAGAAAGGAGACATCGATCTGGTAGAAAAGGAAAGAAAAAGAAGAAAAAAGAGAAAGAATTATATTAAATATTGTAGCAGAATCTCAAACGTTTTAAGAGAGAGAAAGAATGATAAAAGCAAAAAGCGAAAGAAGGACAAAGAAGCGAGTGGGAAAAAAAATGATGAAAAGAAAAAAGAGAAGAGAGAGAAAGAATGAGAAAAATAAAAAGAAAGAAATACAGAGAAAGGAGAGAGTGAAAGAATTAGACAAATAGAGAGTGAGAAAGCGAAATGGAAGGAAATAGTTTGAATGAAAATGAATAAATAGAAAACAGACAAAAAATCTCAGAAAAAAGTCATGGAAAGAGTGGAACTGTAGAAGAAGGTAAGTGGAACTGAGTTGCTCTGTCGAAAAAAATGAAGAGATAAAATTATTAAAAATGGTTGTGTCAATAAAAAAGAACAACGGTAAGTAGGAGTAGATAAGCAATTAGGAGCGTTCTGATTACAGGCCGATATTCGAAGTCTGTGTCGGGTGGCGATAAAGAGAAGGTCAAGGTTTGACAAGCTGATATAAAGCTGGGAAATGGTCTCTCACTAGCGCTCTCTATTTACCTATGCTTGCGGGCGTTTTTTTTAATAGTTTGTGTGTGTGTGTCTGTGTGTGTGTATGTGTCATGAATATAGGTGTTTACACGCTTGCGTACAGAAATAAAGAGATATAATTGCTCGTTTTAGCAGCGAAGCACTTGCGGGTTTCGTAATTTTTATCAGTTTGGAAATTGGAATCGGTGAGGTAAGTTAAGCTTCGTCCAAGTCCGTTGCATTTACTTTTACACTGATGGATCCATCTCTTCTTTCCCCCAACTATAGGTTAAATAGCAATGTTGACTAGTCTCTCTAGCTTTAGTTGGCAACAACTCTACAAGAAGGACAACACCGAATTAAAAACTGTGGAAAAGGAAAACGAGAAATCGCCTGCAAAGAAACATAGAAGTTAAATATACACTCTGGCACGTACGTAAGCTGGTCCTAAAGAGACTGTCCCTAGTTGAACCTTCATTGAAACTTCATTCGCCAATCGCGTGATACTATGGCAGAATAAACTAAACTTAGTAAACATCGTACTTTGAATATATATATATATATATATATATATATATATATATATATATATATATATATATATATATATATAAAATCTTTTACGGATTTATTATTTGTGTCTAGAAGTATTAGAAGAAAACAAAAGTATCATAGTTCAATTGGCAAAATGACCTGGCATTTCAACGAAGATTTAGTCATGAGAGAAACTTAACGTTAACCAGATGGAATAGTTTAGATTACTTTCTGATGTGTTGTCATAGCTCGCAATTGTTATCTGGATGTCGGTAGCCTGTTGCATTTTCATATAAAGTTTTAGTCTGAGTTTCATCTGAGTTTTTGACACTTTTAGTACATTCCGGACACGAGTATTTGTTTTCTACAAGTCAATGAGATCTGTTTTGATTGTCATGTGATTGCATGTAAGAAATTAACCCAGCATTTGAAAGATAAATGAATTTATGACGGTTATGCAGTAATAGAACCTTGTCATTTAGAGCAACTATTAAGGCGAAATCATCAACTTTTATCGCTGTTCCTTTCCATTGTACATGTTGGGCGCGTCCTGTTTCATATTCACTAACCGTCTTCTTGAATTTGCAGCATCCCAGGACTCAGTCCTTATCCTCTGCTTCCCAGTTTTCACAAGATATGCCTGTCTGAGACGCCCTCCAAGCACTGGTTTATATCTGGGTCACCCTTACTTGTTTACTAGAGAAAACTTTCTTGCGTATACGTTCATCAACTAGGTGAACTAGATGTACAGATAACTGTGTATTATCATAGCTTTGATTGATAGAAAATTTGGTTTTGACAGCATTTCAGTATCAGGTGTATATGATTATCATCGTATGTGCATTATATGGCTCAGACATTTCGTCCTTGCTTTGAATATGGTCTTGTGCTCCTGCTATATATTTAGAGTTTCCTGATAATATCCAAATAAGAATCTCTGATGTTATTGGTCTTGACATGGCATCTTGGCTTCAGTCCCTTTCCTAACGCCGTAACGTAGCTTACCTGTGTCTTTTCTATAAATATTTTCATGCTAATTGTTCAGATGAACTTTCAACTGTGGTACCTAGACTTTATGAATTTAAGCGCAGTACTAAATTGGCGGCAATGTCTCATCATTTTACAATTGAAATAGTTAGATGTAACCGTAAGTTCTATGCTAACAGTTCCTTCTATCGCAATTTTCGCTTGTGAAACAGTCTTCCATTTTCTTGCTTGCCAGTCAAATTCGATCTTCAAAAATTTAAATGCCATATCAATAGTTATCGTCTGTCTTCTTAATTTTTATTCTTTTATTGTCCGCTCTCCATAATAGTATCTTTCTCATACTCTCTAACACTCAGTAACCCCTTGCGCCCTAATGGGCTTATTGTCTTGGTTGAGGTGAAATGAGTTAAAACAATTCTGGTAAATGAGCTCAAGTAACTTTATATGGCGAATATATGTCACCCATGTTTCATATTTTAATTCCCTATATCGGAAGCTAAATAGCACAAACCAACGATAAACAGCTATTTAATTGGCCTATTTGTGAAATTATATAATGATTTTCAAAGTTTCCGAAGGAGTACGAAACTTTCTGAATTCTATTTAAAATTTGAAGATGATGAGAACACAACCTATATAGGGTACTCTTGAGGTAAACAAATCTATATAGGGTACTCTTGAGGTAAACAAAGATATTTAAAACTATTCCTTTGACAAAGTTGGAGAGTGGTATTCTTTACCAGAAGCAGGTTGACGCATAACAAGTTTACTTTTCATTGATAGTCAATCTGAAAGCGTCTGCTATGGTGCCAATTACGTCTATTAGGGTTTAAATATTCTCCTGGGTTTGAGTAACTACATTTGCGTCATCTCCGTCAGAAGATGAATAATAGGAAGGTGGCACATTTGGCTAATATATTCGATATTGACCGGGAAAGGTTGATTTAAAAGTTCAGAATAATGCTCCATCCATTGCCTATCAGTTCACGTAATTGTCTTTCGACCACAGAGTAGAAATTGTTGTTTGCGGAGGACCATAGATTTAATGTCTATAAGTAAAAAAAAACAAAGGTTTTTAGAATCCTTCAGATAATAGGCTCCGTGGATATTAATAGCAATTTTGTTTCACCAGTTCTCTTTTATATCTATTATTTTTCTTTGTACATGTGTCTTAACTTTGCGGAAATTAAAATTCAATTTTGCAAGATATTTATCAGCACCAGCGACTAACAAGTGGGAATGAACTGATTTTTACATATCACGAAACACAGAAATCTGTTTTTTATTGTAGTCGAACCAGTTTTGATTCTCTTTGCGTTCTAACCAAAGTGTGGCAGAGGAAGCCTCAAGGATTTTATCACAGAAATCTTTCCAAATATTTCCCTTGTCAAGGAGTTGAATATTGAGCAGATACGAAATTGCGTCATGCTGTATTTGTATTTTTGTTAAACGGCATATCAATTCCTAATAGGTCATTTAATGCGGAAATTTACCTGCGGGAGGAGCTTTAAAGTAATAAAAATATGTTATTCTGCTTTCACAACATGTTTATGCATATAAAAGTTTGTGTAGACATAATTACTTGAAGGGGATGAGTGTGTTTTATATTGTAGTTTTGTTGAAATTATATTTTGGAATGCAGTTTGGTTTCTTTAAGAAATTGTAGGATATTACAGTGGGGTGAAATAAATATTCGTACACATGAAAAATTATATTTTTATAAATGTAAAAGCCTTAACTAAAACAAATTTTGATACATTTTATGTGTAAAGATACATTTTATTAAAAAATAGTAATAAACTTAATTAATCCTCATTATAACAGAAATTAATGCATTTTTTTCATTTTAACTGTTGAAAAAAGTATTCGTACAAAACAAAAAAAACATATTAACTTAATTTAATACTTTGTGGAATATCCTTTATTGGGTTCAACAGCTACCAGTGTATTCCTGTACGTCTCAACTAATGATCTGCACACATTGAGTGGTATTTTGTCCCATTCTTCTTGGCATATTGTTTTCAAATTCTTGATATTTGTTGGTGCTCTTTTCCCAATTTGAATTTTCAAATATCGCCATAAATTCTCGATTGGGTTCAAGTCTGGGGACTGACTTGGCCATTGCAAGACATCAACGTTACTTTCAGCTAACCATTTCCTTGTAGATCTAGCGGTATGCTTAGGTTCATTATCCAGATGGAAAACCCAATCAGGAGGTAGCCGAAGTCTCTCAACTGAACGCATTAAATTGTCTTGCAGGATTTTCTGGCAGCTTTCGGCATTCATCTTGCCATCTATTATTGATATTCTGCCAACACCTTTTGCAGAAAAACAGCCCCAGATCATGATACTGCCACCACCAAACTTTACAGTTGGCAACGTGTTCTTTGGTAAGTAGGCTTCACCGTCCTTCCTCCACACATGATTTCGATAATTTTGACCAAACAACTATTTTAGTTTCATCTGTCCATAGTACTTTTTTTTCCCAAAAGGAATATTCTTTATCCTTATGCTCTCTAACGAATTTTAGCCTAGCATCTCTGAGTCGTTTCAAGAGGAGTGGCGTCTTCCTTGGGATGCGTGATTTCAGACTGTTTTTGTGTAGTTCATTACTTATTGTACGCTTGGTTACTTTAATCCCTAATGCACGCAGATGTTCCTGCAGCTCTTCTCGGGTAACCTGTGGATTTTGTTGGATCTGGCGTCCTAATATCCTTGCTGATCTTAGAGAAATCTTCCTCGGAGCACCTGTTCGTCTTTGGTTTTCGACGCTGTTGCGAGTTTTAAACTTTGCAATGAACGAAGCAATTGTAGTAAAAGGAATATTCAGGTTGTTAGAAATCGTTCTGTAACTGTTCCCATCTTTCCAAAGAGACAAAATGTGTTGTTTTTGTGAAATAGTCAATTCTTTACCTTTAGGCATTATTAGAACCTTCTCGTAAGACTAGGAATTGCAGAATGCTCTGATAATGGCTAAAAGCGTTAACTGTAATTACTGGAACATTCTAAAATATACTATTTTCATGATTAATTGATTATTTTATCCTAATAATTGATTTGTACGAATACTTTTTTCATCAGTTAGAATTAAAAAATGCATTAATTTCTGTTAGAATAAGAATTAATTAAGTTTATTATTATTATTATCTTTTAATAGTATGTGTCTTTATGCATAAAATGTGCCGAGATTTGTTTTATTTAAGGTTTTTATATTTATAAAAATACAATTTTTTAAGTG